ACAGACGGGAGCACAGCTGTATAAGGAGACGGTGCACAGACAGACGGGAGCACAGCTGTATAAGGAGACGGTACACAGACAGACGGGAGCACAGCTGTATAAGGAGGCAGTGCACAGACAGACGGGAGCACAGCTGTATAAGGAGGCGGTGCACAGACAGACGGGAGCACAGCTGTATAGGTAGTATATAACCTGAGAGTGACTGAGCCCTTGAGGACATAAGCTCATTGGTAGAACACTTGTGTAGCAGGATGAGGCCCTAAAATAAATGCCCAGCACTTCACTCCTAAAAATTAAATAGGGACTGAGACAAGTTTGCCAGGCATAAAGGAGGTCATTGATGTTGTAGTAAATACAGGGGTCCCACCAGCATATCAACCCTGGAGGGGTATGATCAGGCTGTCCTGGCGGCTGGAGAACATCACTTTGGGCATATTTGCTGCATGCCACTGCTGAATTGCACACTGGACGTTCATCAGTTAGCAAGGTATATTCCTGCCTCATGAAACTTACATGCTGTGAGGAGAAGCAAAGAATGCTGGAGCAGGAGGGCTGCCGGAAAGAGTCCCACTTCAGAGATGTTTGAGAAGGCTTCTCTAAGGAAGTGCTTTGAGTGGTAACCCAAATCACACACAGGACTGGGATACATGAGCCTTACAGACTGAAAAGGGAGCATGTGTGAAAGCTTTCTGACAGGTTCATCCTTCTTAGAGCTTCTGAGGTTTCTAGTGCGGGTGCACTGGAATCGGACAATGATAGGACCCAGAAAGGACACTAGGCTGTAAAATAGAATTTCAACACTTGGCTAAGCTTGGGTGGCCCACTGAGAATTCCCATATCTGAACAGGACGAAACAGGGACCAATAAGGGAGCAGTGCAATGTCTAGGCCTATGAGTATTAAGACTGGCACTGGTGTAAAGGGATTTTGGAAATAAAAGAATCAATCAATGAGCCGGGCGTTGGTGGTGCATGCCTTTAATCCCAGCACTCAGGTGGCAGAGGCAGGTGGATCTCTGTGAATTCAAAGTAGACAGTCAGGGTTACACAATAAAAACCCTGTCTCAAAAAACCACAAAAGCGAAGCAAACAAAAAAAAACCCAAAGTTATAAGTAATACAAAATCTTTCTCAGTTATAACCTTGAATGCAAACAGCCTTGACTCACCAGTTACTAAAGTACTTATACACAGACCTGCCTGGATTTTTTTTTTTTTTTAAGAGGCAAGATCTGTCTGTTGTCTCTAAGAAAAGCACCTAAGTAGAAAGGTAATTGATAAATTTTGAACCAGAGATTAGAAATCAAACTACCAAGTAAACAGAAGTACAGACAAGCTAGGACAATGATTTTCATATCTGATAATGTAGACTTGAAACTAAAACTACTCAGAAGAGATAAAGGTACTACTTATTAATACATGGGACAGTTCATCAAGAGGACATAACCATTGCAGATACCTTGGGATCCCTAATTTCATAAAGCAAACGCTAAAAGGCAAAAGGACCACATAGGTTCTAAAAGGTTCTAAAAGGCAAAAGGACCACACAGTAGTGACAAGGAGACTTTAAGACCCTACTGTCACTCTTAGATCTTCCAAACTCAAATAATTGTTAACAAAACCTCAGAACTAAATTATACCATATATATATTATAATTATATTATCATATGATATATAATTATAACATAGATATGTATATAACAGTTATCTCCAGAACATGCCATCCAACACATAGGGAGACATATTCTTCTAGTGGCACAAGGAACCTTCTCTTAAATCTATTACATTATAGGCCACAGAGCATACCTTAAATTTTAGGGGAAAAAAAAAACAAAACAGGACCCTGAAATAATTACCTACATCTTATCAGACAAAAAATGAAGATACAGTTTGATAGTAGCATGCTTGCCCAGCATGCATGACATCCCTAATTAAATCCCCAGGAGGGAGAGCCTTATAAAAACTGTGGAGGTGGCTCAGTGGTTAAAGGCAAGAGCATGTGTTGCTCTTGTAGCAGACCTGAGTTTGGTTCCCAGCACTGTATCAGACTGTTCATAGACATCTATAACTTCAGCTCCAGGGGATCTGACACCTGTCTCAGTGAGCACCTACGGTTATGTATACACACACACACACACACACACACACACACACACACACACCCAAAATTAAAGATTTTTTAAAAATCTCTGAATTTGAGACCAGCCTGATCTATATAGCCTGTTTCTAGGCCAGCCGAGCTACATAGTGAGATCCTGTCTCAAAACAAAGAAAAGTCTTCAATATCTTCAATATTAATTTTTAATTATGTGTATGTGTGTATCTCTGTGTGGGTATGTGCACATGAGTGCAGGGGCCCTCAGAGGCATCAGAGATAATTCTGGAACAGGAGTTACAGATTGTTGTAAGCCACTCAACATGGGTTCTGAGAATTGAACTCTGGTCTTCGGCAAGAGCAATGTTCTTTTTTTTTTTTTAGATTTATTTATTTATTATGTATACAGTGTTCTGCCTGCATATATGCTTGCACACTAGAAGAGGTACCAGATCTCCTCTCACAGATGACTGTGAGCCCCCATGTGGTTGCTGGGAATTGAACTCATGACCTCTGGAAGAACAGTCAGTGGTCTTAACCTCTGAGCCATCTCTCCAGCCCAAGAGCAATGTTCTTATCCATCAAGCTGTCCATCTAGCTCAGACTTCAATATCTTAGGCATCAGCAGAAGTGTAGATTAAAACTACTTTGAGATTCAGAAATCAGAATGGCTATCATCATAAAGACGGACGACAACAAATGCTGGCAAGATGTGGGAGAGGAGCACCATTCACTGTGTTGGGAGTGTAACTAAGTGCTGTAGCCACCATGGGGTCCGTGTGGAGACCCTCCACACAACCTAGAAATAGAATGTGGTCTAGCTGTATGTTCCTGGGTGTATATCCAAAGGCTTCCATGTTTATTTTCAAAATAGCAAAGGCATGGAACTGGCCTGGATGTGTGTAGAGACTGAAGAGGTTGTTTAGTAGTTAAGAGTACTTGTTCCTCTTGTAGAAGACCCAGGTTCAGTTCCCAGCATGTATATGGTAGCTCATAGCCATCCATAATTCCAGTTCCAGGGGATCTGATGCCCTTCTCTGACCTGTATAGGCAACAGGCACATATGTGGTGCACATACATACATTCAGGCAAAACACTCATATGCATAAAATAAATCTAAAAAAATTCTAATGGATAAATGAAACATGAAAATATGGTACATATTCATAGTGAAATTTTATTCAACCATAGAGAATTTATGAAATTTGTAGGAAAATAATATGGAATTAGAAAGTATTACATTAAGTGTGGTAATCCAGGCTCAGAAAGACAAACATCTCCATGTTCTCACTTATTCATAAACAAATCCTGGTTTCCTTTTTCTTCTCTCCCTCTCCCCCCCCCACCTTGTTTGATTGGTTGTTTTGTTGTTTGTGTGTTTGTTTTTGTTTTTGAGACAGGCTCTGTCTATGTAGCTCTGAATATCCTGAAACTCTCTCTGTGGACTAGGCTGACCTCGATTCAGAGATCTGCTTGCCTCTGCCTCCTGAGTGCTGGGGTTAAAGTGTATACCACCATGCAACATGTAAAACATGTCCATTTAAGTGGGAACAAGTGTAGGCAGAGTCCATGAAACTTGAAAGGCCCATAAGTTTGGGAGTGTGGCTTTAAAATAGGTGGGGAGGATCTTGGAACTTGTAATGTCTAAGTGGAAGGAGGAATGGGGTGGGGGAGCTTCAGGGTACGGTAGGGACGAAGGAGAGCAGGGAAGTCAATCAAAAGTGTGTATGAAAATGGCATGGATGCGAGATGGTGGCACGTACCACCAGAGGGAGTTACAGGAAAGCCATAGCTGTTACACAGAGAAACCTTGTCTCAAAAAACCAAAAGGAAAAAAAAATGGCATAAAGATGGACCGGTAGGCTGAATCAATTCAGTAAAAGGAGAGAAGTGACCTCTCTCAAGTCATTGTCTGACCTCACATGTGATCCCCATTCCTCAGCCAAAATAATAAGTAAATAATTTTAATCTTTTTTTGTCTTTGAAGATTTTTTATTTGAATTAGAAACAAGATTGTTTTACATGACAATCCCAGTTCCCTTCTCCCTCCCATCCTCCCCTACCACCCCTCCCAACTAAAACCCTACCTATCACATATCCTTTCTGCTCCCCCTGGATGGTGAAGCCTCCCATAGGGTATCATCAGAGTCTATCATATCCTTTGGGATAGGGCCTAGGCCCACCCGAGTGTGTCTTGGCTCAGGGAGTATTCCTCTATGTGGAATGGGCTCCCAAAGTCCACACCTATGCTAGGGATAAGTACTGAACTACTATCAGACTGGGAAGCAAGAGTTCCCCGATGTTCAGGTCAGCTGTTTCTGTGGGTTTCACCAGCCTGGTCTGGACCCTTTTGCTCTTCACTAGTCCTTGTCTGCATCTGGATTCCAGTTCAGTTCAGTGATTAGTTGTGGGTGTCTGCTTCTACTTCCACCTTTTTTTTTTTTTAAACAAGGTCTCTCTATGTAGCTTTGGTTGGCCTAGAAGTCTGGGGTGGGGAATATTACAAGGAAGCCTGTTACTTTGTATGCTAACCGTTTAGAAAAGGACAGAAGCATCCCTGGCCCTGTTGGAAACCAGACAAAGCGTAGACCTGCCTAGAAGTCACACCAGCCCACCTAGACTGTTTTTTAAGACTGGGTCTCACCTGGCCCCCAAGCTTGCCTCAAAATCACTCTATAGCGAAATATAACATTAAGTTAATCCTCCTGCCTCCACCTCCCAGTTTGTGTGATTACAGGTATGCGTGACTATGCCTGGTTGATGGAGTGCTAAGGATCCCCCCCAGGATTTTGTGCATGCCAGATAAGCGCTCTACCCAATTGAGCTACATTCCTAGCCCCAGACTTTCATTTGCTATGATTTGAAATTGGGGGAATGATATGATGCCACTGCTTCTTGCCTTCTGCAGGAGCTGGTCCGGCAGCGAGGAGTCCTAGAACACACGGAGAAGATGGTAGACAAGATGGATCAGGATTTGAAGATGAGCCAGAAACATATCAATAGCATTAAGAGTGTATTTGGAGGATTTATCAACTACTTCAAATCCAAACCAGTAGAGACTCCACCTGAACAAAATGGCAGCATTGCCCCGCAGCCCAACAGCAGGTGAGTATAGTATCCACAGTCTGGACCTATAAAAACAACAGAAACAGGTTCCAAAGGTCCTGAGTTCAATTCCTGGCAACCACATGGTGACTCACAACCATCTGTAATGAGACCTGGTGCCCTCTTCTGGCGTGAAGAGACACATGCAGGCAGAATACTGTATACATAACAAATAAGATAAAATAAAATAAAATAAAATAAAAAAGAGCACTGGCTGCTCTTCCAGAGGACCTGCGTTCAATTACCAGCAACCATATGGTGACTCTAGTGCCCTCTTCTGGCCTGCAGGCACACATGCAGGCAGAATACTATATACATTAAAAATGTATATACAAGAATTGGGTATTTGTTAAAATCAGTGACCTTCATTCATACCTCAGGACATTTTTGCTTTATGTTGTTTTGTTTTAAGGTGGTTTTTTAATTTGATTTTTAAATTTTGTGTGTGTTTGGTGGGGGGAGGATAAAAGCCACAGCCATGTGCAGGGCACTTGCAGGATAGGTGTCCATTCTTTTCTTCCTCCATGTGGATCCTGAAGATTGGATTCAGGATGTCTCATTTAATGGCCAGTCTTTACCTGCCAAGCCATCACTCACAGGCCCTTATTTTTTGAGAAACAGTAGTAGATAACCAAGACTGGTCTTGAACTCACTATTTAGCTGAACATAAACTTGAGCTCCTTATCCTCCTGCTGTCATCTCCCAAATTCTGGGATAACAGTCTTGCACCTCCACACACACTTTGAAATAGTTTTACTAGAAAAGCATGGATATGTGGGTTGGGGTTGTAGCTCCTTTAGCAGAGTGCTTGCCTAGCATTCTGGAAGCCCTGGGCTAAGTCTCCACTTCTGCTGGGCTTCAGAGACAGACACATGGGAATAATCCCTGTACTGGGCATTGTTTTCTCACTCCACATGGTCTTCAGCAGTCTCTGAGCACTCAAAGGTCTCTGACCAGTGGGAGCTTATTCAGAAGCTTCTGCAGCACTGGGGATGGAAGGGTCTGCTAGATATTTGCCACAAGTGCATTTGCGAGGTGCCCATACCCATCTCATAGTTGTTTTGAGCTAGTAACTCCACAGAGCTGTATTTCTTCATTCCCAAAAAGTTTTCCCCTCTCCCTCCCTCCCCCAAAGAAATTCTTTTGGCCGGGCATTGGTGGCCCATGCCTTTAATCCCAGCACTTGGGAGGCAGAGGCAGGCGGATCTCTGTGAGTTCGAGGCCAGCCTGGTCTCCAGAGTAAGTGCCAGGATAGGCTCCAAAGCTACACAGAGAAACCCTGTCTCAAAAGAAGAAGAAGAAGAAGAAGAAGAAGAAGAAGAAGAAGAAGAAGAAGAAGAAGAAGAAGAAGAAGAAGAAGAAGAAGAAATTCTTTTGATTGCTGGGTGATTTATAGTCTCATGTAGCCCCAGTTGGCCTCAAACTGACAAGGTAGCCAAGGCCAGCTTTGAATTCTTGACCCTTCTCCTGCCATTTCCTAAGTGCCAGGAATACAAGTTTGTACCACCATTACAACAAGAAATTACAGATGGCACTGGGCCACCATGTGGGTGCTGGGAAGCAAACTCAGGTCGTCTGCAAGAGTAACAAGTGTTCCTAACCACTGACCCATCTCTCCAGCCCCACAAAAATAAAACTAAACAAACAGCAACAGAAGTAGAGAGGGAGGGAAATACTAGCTAGCCTGGGTGATGCATTCCTGCAATCCCAGTAGGTAGTTCTGTATCAGTATTTTAAATCCAGCCTAGGATATAAGACCCTGTTTGGGGAGCTAGAGAGATAGCTCAGTGGCTAAGAGCACTGGCTGCTCTTCCAAAGAACCAGGTTCAATTCCCAGCACCCTCATGGCAGCTCACAACTGTCTGTAACTCCAATTCCAGGGGATCTGACACTCTTACACCAATGCACATAAAATAAAATAAAATGACCCTGTTTTGTGTGTTTGTGTTTAATTAAGTTTTTTCATTTTGTTTGTTTTGAATTTGTGTCTCCGTATGTATCTGTCACATGTGTGTGGATACCCACAGAGGTCAAAACACAATGTCAGATCCCGTGGAGCTAGAGTTACAGATGATTGTAAGCTTCCCAAATGTGTGTGCTTAGATCTCAACCTGTGTCCTCTGGAAGAGAAGCCAGTGCTTTTAGCTGCTGAGCTAAAGTCTCCAGCCTTGAGACTCTGGGTTTGCTTGTTTGTTTATTTGTTTGTTGTTTTTGTTTTTTAAAGACTTGAGTATCTAAGTTGACATTACCTATCATTCAGGGCAAAGAGCCCTATGTAAAAGCCATTCTTTGTTTATGGCTATATGTAAGTGATAGATTTTTATGTTATGTGTAATCACAGTAAAAGAAATGTGGGGCCAGGTGAGGTGTCATCCCAGCGCTTGGGAGGTGGAGGCAGGAAGATCAGGATTTAAGGTCATCTTCAACAGCTACATGTTGAGGTTGAGGCTGGCCTGGACTATCTTTAAAAAGGCGGGGTGGGAGGGCGGTAAGGAAAATAGATAGTAGGTCATAATTTGCCGATCCTTTATCAAAGGTACTCACTTGGTCAGTTCATGCACTTTTCATCCACCTGGCCCAGGACTCCTTGTCCTGAGTAAGGTTTCCTCTGCCCACTGTGTGGCCAGCACTACTCCCAGGGTGGTCCCAGAGAGGTCAGCAAAACGAAGCATTGGATATGTGAAACAAAGCCTTCCTGGAAAAGATGAGTGACACTGCTATGCACACACCTGCACAGAGGTGACACTGTCACATGTGTTTACTTTTCATCTACAGATTGAAGGAAGCTATAAATACAAGTAAAGATCAGGAAAGCAAGTACCAAGCCAGCCACCCAAATCTCAGAAGGCTGCATGATGAAGGTGAGTGATGATGTGTGTGAAAGCTCAGGTTCAGATTCTTGTGGGGTGGGTTTCTGGGTTTAATCCTGAAGTGCCAGTGCAGGGGACAGCTGTCTGTCTACAGTGATGTGCAGAGTCATCCCACATGCTAAGTGATGACCTCAGGGACACAAGATGTTCTTGGGGAACCAGAGGTATGTGTTATAATGGGGTTCCTCCCTACCTCATTCCCTATGGAGTGTGATTAAGGAAATGGGAACCTGTACCCCATTGACCAGGAGCCATCTACTGGTGTAGTTCTGAGAAATTCTAGTAGTAAAAAAAGCTAACCTTAGGGCTGGAGAGACGGCTCAGAGGTTAAGAGCACTGACTGCTCTTCCAGAGGTCCTGAGTTCAATTCCCAGCAACCATATGGTGGCTCACAACCATCCGTTATGAGATCTGGTGCCCTCTTCTGGTGTGCAGATATACATGGAAGCAGAATGTTATATACATAATAAATAAATAAATAAATAAATAAATAAAATCTTAAAAAAAAAAAAAAGCTAACTATAAAGCTGGGTATGACAGAACATACCTACCTATAATCCCAGCACTTGGGACGTAGAGGTGGGCCAGGCAGGGTTTGAGTTGCATATTGAGCTTGTGGCCAGCCTGGGATATATAAGACTGCCTCAACAAACAAGAAGAAACCAACCCCCAAAACAAAACAAAAACAAACAAAAAAAACCCAAACTCTGTTATAAGTAAAATGGCCCTTAGAGGTATTTTCCTCCACCCAGGGTTCATGAGCATGTTAAAGGCAAAAGAATATGGTTTTATATATATTAGAATGGCTAATCGGCTGGCTTCCTGAGATAAGAGAATTTATTCTGGGGTATCATATTGGGTCCAGGTAGTCCCAGTACTTGGGAAGCTAAGGCAGGGAAATTGTAAGTTTGAGTTTGAGGCCAGCCTAGATTATATAGCCAGGCTATCAGAAAACCAAAAACAAGCAAACAAACATACTAGGCGTTTTAGTCACTTGGGAGACTGAGGCAAAACATTACCATGAGTTCAAATCCATACTGGAACATAGTGGAAAACCCTGTCTCAAAAGATAAGAAAAGAAAAGGAGAGGCTAGGTGTGGTAGCACAAAACTGTAATTCCAGCACTCGGGATGAAGGCAGAAGGATCAGTAGTTCAGGGCCACCTCAACTACATACTTACATACCAAATTCAAGGCCAGCCTGAGCTACACAAGACTCTCAAAAGAGGACAGAGGTTATTTCTGTATATGTTTAGAAATAGAATTTCTTTCTTTGTTTTTGTTTTTGTTTTTTGTTGTTGTTGTTGTTGTTTTTTGTTTGTTTGTTTTGGTTTTTTTTTTTTTTGAGACAGGATTTCTCTGTGTAGTCCTGGCTGTCCTGGAACTATGTAGACCAAGCTCAGAGATCCTCCTGCCTCTGCCTTTGGAGTGCTGGGATTAAAGGTGTGCTCCACCACGGCCCAGCAAAAACAAAAATAGTAAGCTCAGTTTTGTAGCATAACTTCATTTCCTTTAGTTTCTTTGAGATTGTTTACTGTGTAGCCCAGGCTGGCTTTGAATTCATGATCCTGCTGCCTTAGCCTGCCAAGTGCTGAGATTTCAGCTGCAAACCACCACACCAGGCAATGATTTTCATCTTTGCTTTTTTCATGTTTTATATGGTTTGATGTGGTTTTGTTTCTTTTGAGACTGAGTCTCATTTAGCCCGGTCTGGCTTCAAATTCATTAGTAGATGATGACCTTAAAATTCTGATATTCTTGCTCTATCTGCTAGATTATAGACGGGCACACAACAACTTTGATTTTTAAAGCTGTCTCTGCCAGCTCTGCCTGGTGTAGTAGTATGCACCTGTAGTCACAAATATTGCAGGAATAGCTTGAGTACAAGAGTTTGAGGTAAGCTTGGAGTTCACGGGATTTACAGTAGAGAGAACTTGTCTAGCATGCACAAAGCCCTGGTTCCAATCTTAAGCATTAAAACAAACAAACAAAAAACCAACCTGTCTTCCAGAGCTTGCTTGCCTGTGAGCCTGCAGCTTTGCATTGACAGTTCCCTGTTGTATTGTCATGTCTCTTTCCGTATCTCACCTGTTGACTTGTAAATTGAGAGTCCTTAATCTGCTAATGTTGAAGGACCAGCCAGAGCTCAGACTTGACTTCTCCAGCCTATAACCCCTGTCCCATTCCCGCTCCTGTCCCTCTGCATGGCCTCAGAGGCAGCTACCTCCTTCCTCCCACCCCTTTAGTTCCTTCCTGGTATGAGTGATTACTGGGGACAGTTTCCTAGGACTTCAGAAAAGAATAGGCCAATTTCATGGAGCAGTGACCGTCAGTGAACTGTCCCTCTGGTGTTTCTTTCTGAACTAGACCCAACCCCCAAAGGGCCTGCTTCTGCTGTGACTGCTGAGGTTTACCCAAAGAACTCAAGTCTTCGAGCCTATCATCAAAAGATCGACAACAACCTAGGTAAGTTTGGGAGCTACAGCAGCCTCCAGACAGTTGATGCTGAGCACAGCCAGGGCGCCCAGTACTGCCTCACTGTCAGGAATCTGTCCACTTCTCCCCATTTCCTGCTGTCACTGTAGCCAAGCCATCCTCACTACTTTCTTGACTCCTGACCAGACCTAAGCATCCCTGGGGCTTAAGAGCATCCAGGATAAAGCCACACGGCTGATGTGAGTGCGAAGGAGCTGAACTCAGATCTCATGCTTGCCCAGCAAGTGCTCATATCCACAGAGGCATGTCCCACAGCCCACCAGGCTGGTCTATCTCAGCCTTTTTTCCTGTCCTTACTGTCTCAAACCCAAGAAGCTTTCTTGAAGCCTGGGTGAGTGACCACTAAACTTTTACTTTACAGGAAATGTAAGGTCACATGTTTCAAAGATCTCAAGAAGCATAATATGCCAGGCAAACACCTGTCATCCCAGGTACCTGTGATTAAGATAGGGTTGCAAATCCAGGGTCAGCCTGAAAGTTTGTGAGATCCTGTCTCAACATGACAAATATAAAGAGGCTGGAGGTGTGACTCAGTGTTGGAGTGTTTCCCTAGCACATGCAAGGCCCTAAGTTTGATTCTCCAGCACTTAGGGGAGCAATGCTGTACGTGGTAGAGACCCTAAGTCTTCTCAGGCAGCAGAAGCAGGGAGATCACTCTGACTTCAAGGCCAGCCTGGATTGCATTGTAACTTTCAGGCCAGCCAGAGCTATCTATCAAGACTATGCTAAAACAAACAAACAAACAAACATGTTAACCCTGGTTATCTGGAGGGAGGAGGTAGACAGTGGCTTCTACCTACACTAACCACATATTACTATGTAGTAAGTAGATTTCTCTTCACTTCCATGTTTTTTGAGTCATATGCTACAGGCTGTGGCACTCGGTTTTAGACAGGACTCTGCAGTCCAGATACCACTGAGCATCCAGAGGGGCAAGAAGCCCCTGCAGACACTGTAACTGCCTATCACTTCCTTCTCACAGATGAGCTGTCCATGGGATTGGGCCGACTCAAGGACATAGCCTTAGGAATGCAGACGGAAATTGAGGAGCAGGATGACATTCTTGACCGGCTAACAACCAAAGTGGACAAGTTAGATGTCAATATAAAAAGCACAGAAAAAAAAGTTCGGCAGCTCTAAAGAAACTGAAAAGGAATTCTGCTCCATTGTGATGAAAAGATTCAAAGCCTCTTTTAAACTCCTAAGAAATGTCATTGATTGTACAGTATGTAATTTAACATATGTGTTCAAATGTGGGTCTTAAGAAATTTTAGTTTCAATGGGGAAAAAAATGTGTGTGTACACATTTGGGTAAGATCAACACCTCTAAAGTTCTGGGCAGACTAATTGTGAATGCCTTGAGCTTTTGATACTGTGCAGGAAGAAGAAAACCGTGCATTTCTTTCTTTCACAAGTATATGCAAAGATGTGGGCAGGATGTCAGTCAGTCTCCTAACTATTGCCTTCTATTTACTCGCTGTTTCTCACTCCAAGGCCTTACTGTGAATTCATGTAAAGTGACCCTGGGTTTTGGCAGAAGGAAGGGTCCTTCCACATCTTTGTATGTCAATCATTATCGATATGCCTGCACATACACTGAGCACATTGTAGCTTTCTCCCCCTGAAAAGGACCCCTGTTAGACCCAGAAAAGGAATGTGTTGCCTTCATTACTCTCCCCTCCTGTCCTCAGTTCTTGTCCTGTATTTCAGTAGAAGGACTCAGACTAGAACTGTTGGACATGACACCTGCAGTGTATGGAAATTGGATGAACTCTTCTTCCCCACCTACTGTCATCTCATACTTGCCATCTCTGGTGGGGACAGGTTTTTTTGACTGGCTCTAGGTCACCAAGTAGGTTGATGAGGAACCCCTGTGGAGTTAGTGAGCCCTGAGTATCTCCCAAACAAAAACCTCTCCACTGAGCCCTCTCTGCCTCTGGAATAGTACCAAGGCAGTGTTTATTTGGTGCCTGGAGAACCCCCACCCATTCCCTTTGTTTCTACAAAGTGCCCACCTAGTTTGAGGACTTAGATCCACAAATGATACTAGCCTTCGGTAAGACGACTTGACCAAGAAGCAGCCCAGGTACCGTTTTAGCTAGCTAGGCATGTTCATTCCCTTCATCTTCCAAAGAAAATATTTAGAAGCATTAATTAAAATTGATTTCTACAACAATTTTTCCTTGTGTTGGTACTTCCAATAAAATCATTGAAGCCGCAGAACACTTAACTTTCTTAAAGTCAAATTCACATATTTTAAAGATGGTAAAAGGGACTGTTTTTTTACTGGTAAAGTACGTCAAAAACTAAAATGCCAGTGCCTTTTTGCCTTAAAACATGGCTTATGTGCCATTTTGGGATCCTTCCTTTAGCATCTGGAGCAAGCATGGGGGCTGTGGGTGTGCCCGCCTCTCTTGGGCCCTGGATTGATCTCCACCACTGAGAGAGAAACAGAAAATGGTGACAGCATTACTGTTCATGTAGCAACTTGTACACACTCCTGTCACAAAATTTCCAACCTTGCTGAAAATACAGCTGCCACAAGCAAAAAGGCATGCCAGTGTCCATCTGTCCCTAGATATGAAGATCTGACTATGGTAGGCCTCTGTGAGTTCAAGGCCAGCCAGGACTATATAGCAAGACTCTGTCTCAACTCAAACAATATAGAGACAAACCCATATGTTCTTCCACTCGTAATTGTTTTCAGCTTTTCTATAAAACCTTCCATGTGTTATAACTATTGCTTTTTATCAGCATCAGACATAGCCTTGTGGAATTAATCATTATACCTCAATCTGAAGACATTAACACCTGAGAACGCCCGAGTGCCAGTGATTCAGCCGACTTGAAGCAAGGGAATGTTTTGTGTGCCTTCCTCTGTTTTGTTAAGTTAATAAAGCCAATCTCTCTCCTTTCCCAATCTCTTTAACTCTATGAATGTGAGACCTGTCTTCCTGCTAACGTTTATCGTCTGATCCATTAGAGGACCTCTTCCATTCTGTTGTGTTCTATGACTCATGCTGTGGTCTGCTGACATTGTCCCTGGGCTGGCTGGGAACCTGTTGGTGCCAGTGCTGCCTTATGAAGCAGGGTTATAGAGCAGGGTTGTTTTTGCATCACAGAAAACAAAGGACCTAAGGACAGTCTAGAATCCTTATCCCATGGTAATGGTGACCAGATCTGCTGGCTGACACCTGTACTCACAGCACTTAGGAGGCAGAAGGATTGCCATGAGTTTGAGGTTCGGGATGAGATCTTTTCTCAGAAGAATCAATGGCTGTGGTGGGGAGAGAAAGGAATCACCCCTACACTCTGGCTTAGGAAGGTTGGTGGCAGGGGAGTGGAATAGGCTGCCGGTGTCACACAGCAGACCAATGAACATATCCTTGACATGTAAGGGCTGCAAGGCAGACTGAAACAAACTGCCTTCAGAAAGGTGACATTTGGAACATTAGACCAGCTATATGCTAAGTGTGCTACTAAAATAAATGCATTCCCTACCTTCTAACACGTACTGACTTGTAACTTAGCAGCACTAGAGTGACCTTGTGAATTGTTTTTCCTCATTCTGTAGGAGAGGCCTGGAGTTCATTCATGTAACAAGTAAAAAAAGATAGTGGTGCATTTTAATTTCCCTTTCTCCTTGTAAATGTGTGTAATTTTAAGTGTACATTGTGTCACTTTAGTAAAAAAAAAACTACTTTGCCTGAATAAGCCTTTTTCTTCAGGTGTGTGTGTGTGTGTGTGTGTGTGTGTGTGTGTGTGTGTGTTGTAAGGGGGGGGAGAGAGGGAGAGGTGTCAGAGGTGACCCTCAGGTGTTGTTCCTTAAGCACGGTCCACCTTGTCTCTCACTGGCCTGGAATTCAACAGAAAACCCCAAGCTACCTTTTTCTCCTTCCCTTGTGCTGGGATTTTAAGCACACACCACACATTCAGCTTCTTACATGGTTCATAAGGTCCATGGATAACACAATTTGGGTCCCCATGCTTGCATGGCAAAGACTTTACCAAGGAAGCTATCCCAGTCCTCTGTATGATTTTTTTGTTTGTTTTATTTTCTGAGACAAGGTTTCTCTGTGTAGCCCTGGCTGTCCTGAAACTTCCTCTGTAGACCAGGCTGGCCTCTAACTCATGGAGATCCGCCTGCCTCTGCCTCTGTCTCCTGAGTGCTGGGATTAAAGGTGTGTGCCACCACCACCTAAGATTTTGGTACTTTTAAGTGGATGGAAAACAATAGTTGTTTTCCATAAAATTCAGATGTTCATGTTCATAAATGCTTGATTGGTGTAAGCCCCTTGAGGCATACGAATGGCCAGGCTCCACCCCTCCAGACACCTGGCAACACAGCAACTCTTATAAAGGCAAACATTTCATTGAGGGGATTCATTTACAGTTTCAGAGGTTCATCCCATGATCACTATGACCATGAGCAGGGTAAAATGCAGGCAGACATAGTGCTGGCTACATCTTGATCAGAAGGCAACAGGAAGTGGACTGAGACAACTGGGTGTATCCTGATCATAGGAAACCTCAAAGCCTGCCCCCATAGTGTCACACTTCCTCTAACAAAGCCACACCCACTCCTACAAAGCCACACGTAGTAGTGCCACTCCCTATGAGTTTATGGGACCAATTACATCAAATTACCACATTCCAGTCTTTGCCCCCATAAGCTTGTAACAATATCATAATGCAAAATGTGTTTAGTCCAACTTCAAAAGTCCCCATAGTCTATCAGAGCCTCAACAATGTTTTAAAATCCAAAGCTCCAAGTAACTTCTGAGATTTGTGCAATCTCTTAACTAATCCCCTGTAAAATCAAAATTTAAAAAAAAAAAATCACATATATCCAACATATAATGTCACAGGATATACATTACCATTCCAAAATGCAGGGAAGGAAACAGTGAGGAAATACTGGACCAAAGCAAGACTGAAAACCAGCTGGGCAAACTCCAAAATCTGTATCTCCATGTCTGATTTCAAAACTCTCTTCAGATCTCCAACTCCATTCAGCTTTGTTGGCTGCAACACACTTTTTTCTCTTGGGCTGGTTCCACTCTCTGTTAGCAGTTTTCCTCTGCAGGTATCCCACGACTCTGGCATCTCTAACATCTTGGATTCTCCAAGGCAATCCAGGCTTGAACTTCACAGCTTCACACAATGGCCTCTTTACTAGGCCTCTATTCAGGGACACCTCTGATACATGCCTGGCCTCAGTGGCTTTCTTTAGGCACTGAGGCAAATTCTGTAACCCATTTTTTTTTTCTATCCTTAACTGTAAAGCCAGAACCATGTGGCCAAAGCTGCCAAGTTCTGCTGTTTACTAGGGCTGGAACATGGCCCCCTCATTCAATTACATCTTCACCAGCTGTAGTAGTTTGGATGTATTTGGCCCCCATAACCTCATAGGGAGTAGGTGTGGCCTTGTTGGAGGAAGTGTGGTCTTGTTGGAGGAGGCTGAATGACTCAGGCCTTTAATCCAGACCTTGAGGCTGGGTGGCACACCTTTAGTCTGGGCCACACCTTCTGTTGGAAGTGTGTCACTGTGGGGGCGGGCTTTGAGGTCTTTTTCTCATGCTTCACTCAGTGTGACAGTCAGTCAACTTCCTGTTGCCTCTGAGTCAAGATGTAGCACTCTCAGCTTCAGCACCATGTCTGTCTGTATACCACCATGCTCCCTGTCATGATGATAATGGACTGAGCCTCTGAAACTGTAAGCTGCCACCTCAATTAAATGTTTCCTTCAGAAGAGTTGCCGTGGTCATGGTGTCTTTTCACAGCAATAGAACCCTAACTAAGACACTGCCTAAACTTGGCTACTCTGAAACTGGATCTCTAGACCAGGCTGGGGTCAAACTCAGACTGACCAGCCTCTGCCTTCGAAGTGCTAGAATCAGAGGTGTGCATGACCACACCCGGCTTTAAGCTTTTCTTTAGTTCCTTTTCACAAGTTGGGGGCTTAGCTAGGTGGGATCTTGCCCTTATATCACCACTCCCTTTGATTCCATTTCTTTTTTCTTTCTGTTTTTTGGTTTTTCCAGACAGGGTTTCTCTGTGGCTTTGGAGGCTCTCCTGGAACTAGCTCTTGTAGACCATGCTGGTCTCGAACTCCCAGAGATCTGCCTGCCTCTGCCTCCCAAGTGCTGGGACTAAAGGTGTGTGCCACCTGGCCGTTTTTTCTTTTCCATTTTTTTTTAAATTCCATTTCTTAATCCATTTATCTCCTTGAACACAGAACTTAACTCTGTTCCACTTTCTGGTGCTCTTTTTCTCCTCAAATATTTTTCCTTGCTCAACTTGCTCCTTATAAATTTTCATCAGAGTTAACACTAAGCCATACAACAGAGTCTCTACTAGGCTGCTTTGAGATTTCCTGACAGTGGAATTAATCCAAAATTCTTCATGTTAGCCTCAGGCAGACTTTTCGGACAAGGGCAAAAAGCAGCCACTTTATTCACCGAAAAAAGCACAAGAATGATCCCTAAGCATCATAATAAAATTATTCTCCTCTACAACCTCTTGAGTGAGCCCCCAACAGTTCAAATAACTCTTAGAACTTCTGTCTTCCATGCTCCTACTAGTATGGCCCATTAATCAGTGCTTAAAGCATTCTACGCTTTCCTAACCCCAAGTACCAAAGTCTGAATTCCTCCAAACAAAAACATGATCCAACCTGTCACAGTAATACCCCAGTCCCAGTACCAACTTCTGTCTTAGTTAGGGTTTCTGGTGCTGTGGAGAGAGACCATGACCACAGCAACTTTTATAAAGAAAACATTTAATTGGGGTGGCTCCCTTACAGTTTCAGAGGTTCAGCCCATTATCATGACTGGAAAGCATGCAGGCAGACATAATGCTGGCTACATCTTGATAAAAAAGCAACAGAAAATGGACTGAGACAACTGGGTGGTTTCCTGATCATAGGAAACCTCAAAGCCTGCCCCCATAGTGACTCACTTCCTCTAACAAAGCCACACCCACTCCAACAAAGCCACACCTCCTAATAGTGCCACTCCTTTTAAAATTATGGGAGCTAATTACATTCAAACTACCATAGTCTATAACCTTGTCAGTGAGCATGGCAGCAGGCAGGTAATATGGCACTGGAATTGTATCTAAGAGCTTACATCTTGGTCCACAAACATAAGACAGAGAGCTAACTGGGAATGGTGAACTTTTGGAACCTCCTACAATGAGGCCAGACCTCCTAATCCTTCCCAAACAGTTCCAGCAACCGGGGACCAAACATTCAAACATGGGAGCCAAAGGGAGCTATTCTCATTCAAACCGTCATGCTATTCCTCGAAATTGTTCCCTGACCTCCACAAGCACTATGGCGCACACATCCCCACCCACACTGCACATACACACAAAGTAAATTAAGATGTAATTTAAGTGCTAAATGATACAGTTGGCTGCTATTATACCTTAAAAATGTGTTTGAGCCAGGTGGTGGTGGTGGTGGTGGTGGTGGTGGTGGTGGTGGTGGTGGAGTACACCTTTAATCCCAACACTTGGGAGGCAGAGGCAGGCGGATCTCTGTGGAGGGTGGGCTGGGGGTAGGGGAGGAGGGTTGAGGGTGAGGGGAGGGAGAGGGAGAAGGAACTTGAAATAAGCTTGTTCCCTAACTAGAACTAATAAAATAAAATAAAATAAAAGTATACAGAGAAACCCTGTTTGAATACACAAAATTACCTATGTATATGGTGCTCATTTTGATAATGTGTAATTGCTGTAGTGAGATAGTCAAAGCTAGGTTTCTTCTTAGTCTTCAGTAATGGAAATCAAAATATATAGAAGAGCCAAACCATGGTGTAAAGGCTGCACGGTGAACCCTCTGCTATGCAATACTAACACATAATATTATACTTTCTTTAAAATAACTAAACACAAAAGAAAGTCTCAAACACAGCTTGCTGCTAACACACACAAATATTATATGGAAAGGTATAGTCTTACTTTCCTAGTACCATTATTGTCTTTTTAAAGAATTATCTTGTTGTTTTAGCTGTGTGCCTGGGGTGAGGGGGGTATGTATATGCACATGAGTGCAGATGCCTACAGAGGTTGGGGGGTTAGGTTCCCCTGGGAGCTAGAGGTACAGTTGGTTGCAAGCTGTGTAACATGGGTTCGGGAACTGAACTCGGGTCTTCTGCAGGAGCTGTACTACTTTTAACCACTGAACCATCTCTCCAGCACTCCCCTGTTGTGGAACATTTAATTATGTGATGATGCGTTACATTTCTTTATGCTGTGGGATATGACTTTAACTGTGTAAAGGTGTGTTACATTTGTTTCTGCTGCCTTTGTCAACGATGTGTTATATTTGTTTATGCTGCATTTATTTAACTATGTGAAGATGTGATGCTGTTTCATCTTGCCTGCCTAAGACACCTTATTGGTCTAATAAGAAGCTGAATGGTCAATAGGTAGGCAGGAGAGGGATAGGTGGGGCTGGCGGACAGAGAGAATAAATAGGAGGAGGAATCTGGAGAAAAGAGGGAAGAAGAAGAGAATGAGGGAGAAGAGAGCCACCAGCCAGACAGACAAGAGAAGCAGTGAAAGTAAGATATACAGAAGGAAAGAAAGGTAAAAAGCCCTGAGGCAAAGCATAGATGAGGAGAAACAGGTTACATTGTAAGAGCTAGCAAGGAAGGAGCTAAGCTAAGGCTGAGTCTTCATAACTAGTAAGTCTTTGTGTCATAATT